AACCTGATCGCCTGACGGATTAGTTTGATCCGGTCGCTTCTGATGTCTTCTAGACGATGATTATAACGCGTCTCTCTTCTAGTTCAGGGAGTGTAGCTTAAGTGTAAGCGTTCATTGTAATATAGGTGTCTCTTCTAAGTGGCATGTGGCTGTGAATGTTACCGGCACGTTCCCCAAGTCAGCAACTTCTCCAACCCTGAACGGTGCAGTTAATGTGCCGCAGGATTACACCCTAAATAGAGTTTGTCTTACCATCATTGGTTTGATATCTATTGCCCGAAAGGTTTCCGTCATCCAGCCCATTGAACTGGACAAGGTTACTCTCAAGCTGTGCTCGGGATTTAATGTCTTGGCTTATATCATTGCGAAGGAGCTGCAGCTTGTCTTAATTGAACGTCAATTTATATTTCTGTGGACGATGTGGTCCAGAGTGGTGCGGAGGGTTCTGTGTGTGTCATCTGCAATTTCCACTATAAAAGTTTGTCTTTGATCGCGTCGGTTCTGACTTAAGCAAGATTACTGGGGCAAGCACAGTGCCCAGGGAGGGTGGAGGATCCAGATTTGACTTTATTGACATACTATTTTATGATCCTCGTGTTAGCAGAAATATAGATCCATCTTCCTCGTCTGCATTCCCCCATGCCGCTCTTGCACGTCCCACGCCTCGCCTGCACGTCCAACACCCTCGCCTGCACGTCCAACACCCTCGCCTGCACGTCCAACACCCTCGCCTGCACGTCCAACACCCTCGCCTGCACGTCCAACACCCTCGCAGGCATTCCCCGTGCCGTCTTCGGCACGCCCCACGCCCACAGTTCCTCCACAACACCATTATATCAGTAATTAAAGCAATCAGTATGAAGTAGAGGACGCCCTCCGTGGAGCTGGGGGGGGGGAGGGACGGCTGCAGTATCTAGTCTCCACGTCGAGGGGGGGGGGGTAATAAAATTGAGGGGAGAGGATTAATATGGGTGCTGTATGGAAGGATTAATATGGGTATTGGAGATAGGATTAACATGGGTGCTGGAGGGAGGATTAATATGGGTGCTGGAGAGTGGATTAATATGGGTACTGGAGTGGATTAATATGGGTGCTGGAGGGAGGATTAGAATGAGTGCTGGTGGAAGGATTAACATGGGTGCTTATCTTGAGGAGTTTCCGGGGCTTAGCGTCCCCGCGGCCCGGTCGTCGACCAGACCTCCTTGTTGCTGGACTGGTCAACCAGGCTTATTTGACGCGGCTGCTCGCAGCCTGACGTATGAATCACAGCCTGGTTGATCAGGTATCCTTTGGAGGTGCTTATCCAGTTCTCTCTTGAACACTGTGAGGGGTCGGCCAGTTATGCCCCTTATGTGTAGTGGAAGCGTGTTGAACAGTCTCTGGCCTCTGATGTTGATAGAGTTCTCTCTCAGAGTACCTGTTGCACCTCTGCTCTTCAACGGGGGTATTCTGCACATCCTGCCATGCCTTCTGGTCTCATGTGATGTTATTTCTGTGTGCAGGTTTGGGACCAGCCCCTCTAATATTTTCCACTTCTAAATTATTATGTATCTCTCCCGAAAGAATACAGATTTAGGCTCTTTAGTCGGTCCCAATAGTTTAGATGTTTTACTGAGTGGATTTTAGCAGTAAAGGATCTCTGCACGCTCTCCAGGTCAGCAATTTATCCAGCTTTGAAAGGGGCTGTCATTGTGCAGCAGTACTCCACTCTAGAGAGCACAAGCGTTTTGAAAAGTATCATCATCGGTATAGCATCTCTAGTGTGAAAAGTTCTTGTTATCCAACCTGTCATTATTCTTGCAGTTGTGACGGCTACTTTATTGTGTTCTTTGAAGGTAAGGTCTTCCGACATGAGTACACCCAGATCCTTTACATTGCCTTTTCGTTCTATGTTATGATTTGACTGAGTTTTGTACGTGGTTTCCGTTTTTTCCGTAGCTCATGAGCTGGAACTTATCTTTGTTAAACACCATATTATTTTCTGTAGCCCATAGAAAAACCTGATTTACATCTGATTGAAGGTTTGCCGTGTCCTCTATGTTGTCTACTCTCATGAAAATCCTAGTGTCATCTGCAAAGGATGATACAGTACTATAGGTTGTGTTCTTGTCTATGTCCGATATGAGGATGAGAAAAAGTACTGGAGCAAGCACAGTACCCTGAAGGACTGAGCTCTTCACGGTTGATGGACCGGATTTTATTTTGTTGACTATTACACATTGGATTCCCTCCAGCAGCCATATTAATCATGCTGGAGAGAGAATTAATATGGCTGCTGGAGGGAGGATTAATATGGGTGTTGGAGAGTGGATTAATATGGGTGCTGGAGAGTAGATTAACATGAGTGCTGGAGATAGGATTAATATGGGATGCAGGCGAGAGGATTAATATGGATACTGGAAGAAGTATTAATATGGGTGATGGGGGGGGGGGAATTTGGGTGCTGGAAGATTAATATGGGTGCAGGAGGATTAATATGGGTGCAGGAGGGAGGATTAATATGGCTGAAGCAGGAAAATGGCCCTAATAAGTTTTTGTGGAAGATTTAAGGAGAAGGGATAAAATGGGGATAGTGTAAATAGGAGAGTTTAATATAAAGAATGGGAAGATAAAAGGTGGTGGTAAGGGAGAGTCTGAATGGTAGGGAAGATTACAATGTTTCGTATGGATGTGAGGGGAGAGACCAACGTAGGTGAAAATATATATATATATATATATATATATATATATATATATATATATATATATATATATATATATATATATATATATATATATATTAAAGGAAAGGTTTATATGTACATATGAGTCTATGGAAGAGGACTGATATCGAAGTTACTTTTATTAGGAGGGGAAGGTTGATATGGGTAAAGTAGATGGGTAGACAAACCTAGTAGTAGTAGATGGGTAGATGGGCAGGAAAGGTTAGTAAGGTAACTGGAGGCGGTGTGTTTATATGGGGAAGGGAAGGAAGAGTTAATTGGAGAGGGGTTGAGGTCGTATATAGTGCCGTGTGTGTTTACTGTATGGGGTGTGGAGGTCATGGGGGAGGGTGGGTGTGGAGGTCATGGGGGAGGGTGGGTGTGGAGGTCATGGGGGAGGGTGGGTGGAGAGGTCATGGGGGAGGGTAGGTGTGGAGAGGTCATGGGGGAGGGTGGGTGTAGAGAGGTCATGGGGGAGGGTGGGTGTGGAAAGGTCATGGGGGAGGGTGGGTGTGGAGGTCATGGGGGAGGGTGAGTGTGGAGAGGTCATGGGGGAGGGTGGGTGTGGAGGTCATGGGGGAGGGTAGGTGTGGAGAGGTCATGGGGGAGGGTAGGTGTGGAGAGGTCATGGGGGAGGGTGGGTGTAGAGAGGTCATGGGGGAGGGTGAGTGTGGAGAGGTCATGGGGGAGGGTGGGTGTGGAGGTCATGGGGGAGAGTGTGGAGGTCATGGGGGAGGGTGGGTGTAGAGAGGTCATGGGGGAGGGTGGGTGTAGAGAGGTCATGGGGGAGGGTGGGTGTAGAGAGGTTAAATGTTTAGCGCCTGGTGTGAGCTACAGGGAGGAGGGTTGAAGCATAATTACAACGTCTCCCTGCTCAAATATTGCTGGCTGGCCAGTAATAGTCTTGTCTCATGATACCATTATTACAGGGAAAGGCACACCCGTGATTGAATTTTACCCACAACATTATTAAATAATTATATATATATATATATATATATATATATATATATATATATATATATATATATATATATATATATATATATATGTCGTACCTAGTAGCCAGAACGCACTTCTCAGTCTACTATGCAAGGCCCGATTTGCCTAATAAGCCAAGTTTTCCTGAATTAATATATTTTCTCTAAATTTTTTCTTATGAAATGATAAATCTACCCATTTCATTATGTATTAGGTCAATTTTTTTTCATTGGAGTTAAAATTAACGTAGATATATGACCGAACCTAACCAACCCTACCTAACCTAACCTAACCTATCTTTATAGGTTAGGTTAGGTTAGGTAGCCGAAAAAGTTAGGTTAGGTTAGGTTAGGTAGGTTAGGTAGTCGAAAAACAATTAATTCATGAAAACTTGGCTTATTAGGCAAATCGGGCCTTGCATAGTAGGCTGAGAAGTGAGTTTTGGCTACTAGGTACGATATATATATATATATATATATATATATATATATATATATATATATATATATATATATATATATATATATATATAATGAGTGGTTATCTAATAGGGCAAGTTGATTTGTTTTTGTTATTTTGAGTTAAAACTAACATAGAAATTTGATCGAGCCTATCAAAGTCAGTAAATCATTTTCCTATTATTGTTTGAAAAGAATTAATTTGGAAAGAAATATTTGAAAATAACGAATAAAGTTCTGCCTGTCAAGCCAATCGTTCCTTGCATACTAGGCCAAGTAGTACAGTTCTGGCTATTACGTACTACTTGTACATTGTTTACATAGGTTCAGTGGCAGTTTCCCCTCCCACTTTCATCCAGTCTTATTTCTAGGTAAAATTGGAGAAGTGATGAGTATACTGCAATTGTCTCAACTTCTTGTAGTGTACATAACCAATTTTGTTGTGAAAAGGGTATGGAAGGTAGGGAAGAGACAGACAGTATGGAGGGTAGGAAGAGAGGCAGACAGTATGGAGGGTAGGAAGAGAGGCAGACAGTATGGAGGGTAGGAAGAGAGGCAGACAGTATGGAGGGTAGGAAGAGAGACAGACAGACAGTATGGGGGGGTCTCGGAAATGGTTCTAGTTCAGCAAAATTGACAGGATCACTATTCTTCAAAAGATTGGAAATCACTCGCTATTGTTAATAGCCACGTAAAGATGTGGTTTGATTAATTCTTTTGTGTGTTATAATTTAAGGTCATTACAATATACATCAAGATATTAATAAAAGGTTTTTAATCGTTGCAACATATCAGATTACGTTTGTGACTTCTTGCTAACCTCTTAATAACCATTCAGCATTTCCTCCCTAATCGACAGGTGACCTTCAACAAGCGGAAGTTTGGAGTGATGAAGAAGGCCTATGAACTGTCAGTGTTGTGCGACTGTGAGATTGCACTCATAATATTTTCGTCCTCAAACAAACTTTACCAGTATGCCTCTACGGACATGGACAAGGTGCTGCTCAAGTACACAGAATATAATGAGCCACACGAATCCCTCACCAACAAAAATATCATTGAGGTAGAGAAGCACCAGCGTTACCCCCCCTTTGACTGAACTTCACGTGCTTGTTAAAATGCTTATCCCCCTATTTATTGCAGCTGCCAGTAGAACTTCCAGCTTGGAGTGTGACTTCAGAGTGTACGCCATGTGTCGGCAGTGTTGTGTCTGCTTTACCTCTCCCCCCCCACTAACCCAGGTGAGCGTAGCCCCACCACACTGCCCACCAACTGGGAACACAGCATTACCTGTAACGACTCCAGTGGACCCTGGTGGGTGGGTGGTGGTGTGGGCTTGCGTCGCCAGCATCTCGTGTGTTGTTGTGAGCTAACAGCCCTGCTCGTTTGTACATTACAGGTGACATTCACAAAGCGCAAGTTTGGTCTGATGAAAAAAGCATATGAGTTGTCGGTGTTGTGTGACTGTGAGATCGCACTCATCATCTTTAACTCTAGCAACAAACTATTCCAATATGCCTCCACGGACATGGACAAGGTCCTCCTCAAGTACACCGAGTATAATGAGCCTCACGAGTCCAGGACCAATAATGATATTGTCGAGGTAATAATCATCCTTCATCAACAAAGTTTTACTCTTAAAAATATATAGATTATTGATTGCTTTAATGATCAAATATTCATTTTGGGGTGACTGGATACCAAAGGAAAAATGCAGTGCTATATATATTTTTCCAGTAAAAACTTAAGGCATATACTTTATCAATCAGGGTGCTTATGTCTGTATAAAGGATTTTGGAGGTTCAAGTTTTTTTCACACTTTATAGTGCAGTATCCATATAGATTTCATAATATTCATATAGCTTTAAATAAATCAATAAATTCATAAATAAGCATTATGCACATCGGAATAAAATCCTGCAAGACTAAACCGTAGCTCACCTGAGCTTTTACAGAATCATAAGACATTACAGTATTTAGTAGCATGGAAGTTCATAAATTCATTATTAAACTAGCATGTTATATAGAGCATTGTTAATAATATATAGTTTTATACCAGTAGTTTAGTTTGCATGTGACTATACAACATTGGCAGTGTAGTGAGCATGTGACATTTTGTGGTATTGTATTTAATAATGTGTATGTTAGCATGTTAGAAGTGTATTTTTTTTTAAAGTAACTGATGATATAACATGTCAAAACCTTCTCAGATGAGCATCAATTTCAGCTTTATTAATAGTAATTATAAATTTAGTTACAGTATTAAAAATGAGGCATAATGTAATAAAGTACACTACTGTATTGTACAGAATTTCAAGTCTGAGAAGGATATGTAATTAGTTTCAGTAGTCACGTTAGCAATTATTCGTATCCAGGTCTAATTGTGCACACACACACACACACACTTGCCTGATACTGTAATATTAGTGTGGTATTAATGTACATGTAGCATAAGGATGTTATAATTTTTCTATTGAAATTTTCAGTATATATTGGTAGATCTGGTGTACAGTATTTATATGTGGTGTTTAGTACAATAGAGTATATAAATATGTAAATCCTTTCATGTATAATATATGCATTCATATTTTGGTTTAATTAATAGTTATCAACAACACTATCTTACATTTTTTTAACTTGGGAAATAAACCTATATTATTCATGCCGGGAATGCCACCAAAAACCACCAAATTGCTTATTATAATAATGCCAAAATATGAAATAAAAGCAGAACAGCTTAACAGGTTTCCTGTCACTGACAAATCAAATACATATGCTGTTCTTTACAGAACCTTCCATATGAAGACAGCATCACTGGATACAAATAGAATCAATGCAGTAATATTTATATATTCATGTCTTTACATAATCATATAGTAAACACATTCAAAGCACAATACAGTACAGCACACCAGCAAATAAATATGGCAAAGATGTTTTTATTTTGCATCTTAACTGTTAAAACTATGTTATGCATTTTTTGTATTACCCAGTATGCATAAAATATTGGTAATACAGAGGTTAAAACTGAACCATGATGTATATACTGTAGTTACATTTCTTTAACTATACCTACAGACATTTTTACATAATTTTACTATTTTTTGTTTATTCATAATCAATCTTGCACTTGAATATAAATATAGTGGGGCACAGGAGGTGTTGAAGTTGGGAAGGGGGGCTCTTTAGTGTGGGGTGTGTAGAGACTTGGGGCGATTTATGGGCAAACTCATTATGGTTTGTCGCCCCCTTTCCACCACCAGCCTAATTTTAAGTACTGTACAGGTGGCAATTAGACCAGTGATTTATACATTGTAGTGTGAAGTAGTGCTGTGAAGCCAGTGATCCCTTACCACGCACCCTTATGTTGCTGATTACTGCTAATCCACGCCCTCCCTTATGGTCCATTATCTTAAAGTTTATCCCATGGTCAACGAGTTCAAGCCCCCTGCTACACTGACGTTTTGTATTCACTAGAAAGAAATATGGAAGAATGTTTTTTTGACCACTTCTTTTTTGCAGGGTTGCCAAAATTGTGTTAAATTTTATATCCTATGTGTTGGATGATTTACTTAGTGCAGTATAATAATAATAATTTATTTAGAAAAAGTACATACATAGTTGCAGAGTTACAGTACAAACATTCTGTTTGATTTAAAGATAGAGGTAGTACATACAATACCTAAAGCCACTAGTACACATAGCGTTTCGGGCAAGTACTATACTTTATTCGGGCTATTCGGGCAGTACTATACTTTAATAGCACTGTATATTACACATCTACTAGTTTGCAATCACTGTGTGTAAAATGCAGTATCTGGTTGGTGCTAGTTTTGAAATGCAATGTAAATTGTACACTGGTTAGTAATTTAAATAATGGGAATAAGTCTAGCCCTTGTTTAAATAATTGCTGCACTGTTCAAAATGGTAAAGATCAGTAGTACAGCACAGTGTATATTATTGATATTCACAAACTTTGGTTCTTGTCAAAAGAAATTACTTAAAACATTAAAATAATTATGGCCAGCTATTAATGTTAATATATATTAAAAGAAAGCAGGCATTGAAAATAGTAGAGTTAAAAGAAAGCAGGCATTGAAAATAGTAGTTAAAAGAAAGCAGGCATTGAAAATAGTAGAGTTAAAAGAAAGCAGGCATTGAAAATAGTAGAGTTAAAAGAAAGCAGGCATTGAAAATAGTAGAGTTAAAAGAAAGCAGGCATTGAAAATAGTAGTTGGCTTTTCACAAATATTCAGTGGCTTACCTAGTTTATGTAAATGACTGGAGGGGAAAGAATGGCAAAACATTTTTGAGGTGGCTGCAAATAATCACATTTAATGTGGTATAATTATTAACAGCCAAGTATAACACGCCCATTTGTTTAAAAGGAAGCAGTTAAGCGCATTCAGGATCACAGCCGAAACGTCTCTGGTTCAATTCCTGTGGCAGGACAGAAGTATTTGGGAAAAGTTTCTTTCTACCTAATGCCGCTGTTTACCTAGCAGTCAATAGGTACTCAGGAGATTGGCAACTGTTGTGGGTTGCATCCTGGGAAAGGTCAGTAGTTAGTCTAGGTAGGATCTCTAATAACCCTAACAGACTTCTTGTACCTGACACTGGGAAAGGAAATGCATCCAAAGTCCAAAGCTTGTGCTCATTTGTACATACTGTTTATAGTAATACTAAGATCATTGACATGGCCGTTAGACAGTGTTGCAAAAATAAGTTTATATTTTTAGAAGACATACATGCCACTCATTTACTTAGCCCCTGACTCAGGGATTTATACCCCCTCAATAACACATAAGCAAGAGATCATGAAAGGCATCTTTGTGTGTTTCAAAAATCCAATGAATTTTGTTAAAAGTACTGCAATGAATGTAGTTTCTTATTAGAGCCAAACCACACTAGGAACAGGTGGGATCAAGTTTAATTTATTACATTCAATTTGTTTATTAAAATATAGGTAACAGCCACATAGACCAATAAAAGCTTTTGCCATGGTCTTAAAAAAAAAACAGCGGTAACAGTTTTGAGGGATACGGTGGACAAACATGGGCACATGATTGTATATTGAGGCAATTTTTCTTCCATGCCAGTTACAATACTGAACAGTGTATATCTGGAGTTACACTAACTCTTGAGCAAATTGAGCACCAAGGCACATTCATAGAACACACTGGTGTTGTCATCTCCTGGAGAGACTTTGTCTGGGATCTCCGATTGCAGTACCAAAATGTACCAACACTGCCTTACCAGAATCTAACAGTGATAGAGAGAAAGAAGGCTGTGATCATCAAGAATAGGAGAGTAAGATGTCAGGCTTTGTTTAAAAGACATTTCTAATGAAATATTACAGAAAATAATACTGAACTGGTACTGTATATATAAAAAAAAAAACCAGCGTTGAATGTAATGAAACGCCATTTTCTGGGTGAGACCCGGAGGCTCCCCGGAGCTTTACCGGCTGATATGCTAATGTCAGACTTTGGCATCAGTCATGTGTATGGAGTTCTAGGGCCTACCGGGGACCACGAGCCAGAACCTGGCCCCCTCAGAGAGGCAAGGGGAGCAATGGCCTATAGAAACCCCCGTGTGGTTGGAAGCATTCTATGTCTGCCATCGACCGGGTCAAGCATCCAGAAAGGTAAGCATTCCAAAACAAACCCCTATTCTGGTGAAAATTGCTACCTAAGCCGAACTAGTGAATAGAACTCTTCAACAGAAAACACGGAAACTAGTATGACGTCATACGTCACCGCGCCGCTGTCTGCGCAGCTCCCCCCTCCCCGGGAGGGGGAAGGGGGAGCCCCAGACCTCCCACGCCGGCTATCCACCCATCAGTTCTGAGGCTGGATGTCAAAACACGCGAAAAACGCCGACCGGAGGGAGGGAGGGTTGCCGGGGAGCCTCCGGGTCTCACCCAGAAAATGGCGTTTCATTACATTCAACGCTGGTTTTCTGGGGGGAGCCCCGTCGGCTCCCCGGAGCTAACTACCCACAGAGGAAGGTCAAAGGGACAAAACCGGGAGGCGGACACCACGCACCCCCCAAGGAGGCGAGACAACCGGCAGCAAACGCCAACCCAAGGCGCCACAGCCCCGAAAATCCCGGGAACAACACGAGAACCACGAGCAGCAAGGCCCCTGCACGAACACCAAAAATCCATGCCCGAAAGACTGCAAGGCCACGTCGCCCAGACGGCAGCGAGAGCAGCGAAGCCACGAACGCCACAGGCATAAGGGAAGAACACAGGCAGCTTAGCCACAAGAACACGGCTGACCACCCGGGACACCATCACCCGCGAACCGGGAAGAACAGAACCGGATCAACGCAAAACGCGCTCCGGACCCAAACGCCGTGGCACGCAAACAACAGCAGAGGGCCGCCACTGAACACAAAAACGACACACCCCCGGCCCGACCAACGAAGCACCAACAAACCCTGGACCCCTCCAGAATGCAGCAGCCCCACCCCGCGCCAGAAAAGATGGAGACTGCTGCCATCAAACAACCAAAACGCTAAAACCGAAGGAGCAAGAAAACACAGCGAACCGACCCCCAGAGGCAAAGGCCCAAAGGAAAGAGCCGACGAAAAAACACA